TGGTGGGAGGGTTTAGAAATGTTCGAAGCGAAGGATCGTAAAAACGCTCGTAATCGTTCCCGTCTACTGCTAAACACGCGATCCTGGGATTAAAATTAACTGCCCCGTGTATATTGATTAAACGTTCACCTTGACACAAGAAGAACAAAACCCCCCCGTGTTGCTGGTGCTCTGCTGATGGTGCTATTGGTGGTTCCTTGTACCAATGAAATACCAAGAGCCAGTAGTAAAGGCTAATAAGACACCACCCACCCACACCCCCCCCCCCATTCACACAACCTGTTACAAATTTTCTTCGTGGAAATTTTATATTTGTTTCGTTTCAGAACATCATATTGAAAACAGGGATTTAAGGGATTGTGTGAGAAATCAAACATTTTAGGAATTTTTATTGTAATAATTCATTTTTATAAAGTATTTATTTATTTATTTATTTTTTTTTTTTTGATACAATTACATTTAATTAGGAATACAATTTTTGATAATAAATTGTTTATAACTAAAATACACAATTATTTTATGTGTTATTGAACAAATGGTGTTTAAAAGTAGAAATTAATTTCAATTAATGTTGAATTTGACAGGTTAAGACACCACCCACCGCCCACGCACAATCTGTTACAAGATTTCTTCGTGGAAATTTTATATTTCTTTCGTCTAAAAACACCACATTGAAAAGAGGAATTTATAAGAGATCGTATAAGAACTTAAAAGTCCTAAGAATTTTTATTCCAATAATTCATTTATGAAATATTTATTATTTTCTTGATACAGTTACATTTAATTAGTAATAAAACTTTTGATAAGAAATTGTTCACAAGTAAAATACACAATTATCAAAAGGGTATCGTTGTATTATTTAAAAGTTAAAATTGAATTCAATTATAAATTAAATTCGAAAGAGATGAATTATTATTCATTTCATTTCTCTACTTTTATCAATAAATTTTTATCTATTTTCGATTTGTGAAACGTTTTTCAAAGCTTTCGAATCTTAGGAATTTCTTTATACGTTTGTCAACTGAATAAGCTCAGCTTTTCCCATATCTTTTCGTGTTCACTACGATGAGGAAGAAGAGTGAGTATGAATCTTTCGGAATATTTCACGACATATTTTATTCAACACATTTCGATGCCATCGGAGAAACGTACAATAGATGCATCCGTAAGAAAGAAAGAGAGAGAGATAGAAGAAGAAAAAAAAAAGAAAAGGAAAGAAAAAAAGGGGTTGAAATATCGTATACACTTGGAAAAGTATCGAATCAGATCTTTTTAGTTGCGATTGTGTAGAAAGAATGCAGCAAAGCTTTTCTCATTCAACTGCTATTCTGCTTTCGTAACTTTCTCTCTCTCTCTCTCTCTCTTTCTCTTTTTACCTACCCCTCTTGAGAAAAAAAAAGGAAGGGGTTAGGAAAGAGAAAAAAATCCGACGATTACGCGAGCTTTTTGTAGAAAAAAAATATTCCCTCTCTTTCTCTTATAAACAGACACAACACAACACACATGTAAATACAAGAGCCATTCTTCGTTTCAAGATTCCCTTAAAAGATCCCACTTTTTTGAACCGACGATATTCATGCTTTTCCCCCAATCCCACCCCACGTTCCACCCACAACATGTATATTCTATATATTCTACTTCCAGGAAGATTAAAGAAACTTTTCTACCCCCTTTTATCTCCCCCAGTTCACTGGACTTATAAAATTTCACTTAAATCTGTCTCTCCATAACAATGTCATGGGAAATTTTATTAGAAAAGGATTTATACGAAACAATGTTAGGAAAAAATGAGAGTCTATTACTGTCATTTTTTTAATTACATTTGTTTATTAAATATATATATATATATATATATATATATATATATATATATATATATATATATATATATATATATATATATATATATATATATATATATATATATATATTTTATTTTTATTATATATATTTAATTATATATTAAATTACATATTATTACATATATATATATTGTATAATATTATAAATTTGTATATATGTAATTATATATTATTTATTTATGTTAGTACATAGTACTAACTATGTAACATGAAACTATGTACTAATTGTAATAATACAATTTATGTTGTACATAGTATAACATAATATATGTACTATGTTAATAATATATATATATATAGGCCTGACCTTAGGTAGTAGATAGTATACAGGTAGATTGATATAGTCATCAGTGAGACGAAATATATCGAGCCAAAAAACGTTATCTAACCTTTCTAAGTACTTTCCGGAAATTTGGCGATATATCCAACACCCACGCAGAGAAAATGACAGTGGCAGGGTTTTGTTCGTTTTACCAAGAATTCATGATTACCCTCGGAGAATAATATTGTTCAAGCATTGATTCAAACAGAACGTTTATTCCTTTTCTAAATTTCTATTGTGAAATTTAATACCTAATCTTTTTACATTCTTGTGATGATACATCATTCTTCTTTAATTGGATATTATTGAATTGGATGGAAAAGTTTGTGCCGATTTTGACAGAAGATTGTAATGCAACTCATTTAAGTTTCTTTTTGTAGCTATTATATTATATGTAATATTTATTATATTCTATTATATTTATATATTATATTATCTTATATATAAAATTACAATTATATATATATAACATTATTTACATATAATTGCATATTTATATATAATTACATTTATATATATTATTACATATTATTAATATTATTAATATATATATTTATATAACAACCTTTCTCCATCTTTATGGGAATCTTCAAAATTTCGTTCTTCCAGAACTTGTCAGGTTTTTCAGCAAAACATAACTGTATAACATTTATTGAAAATTGGCACGAACTTAACGAATAATCCAATAGTTATTATCGTCCTATCGAATATTTATTCAAACATTTGTGAGATTTCATATTTTGTTGTTGTTGTTGTTGTTGTTGTTACATCATTTCTTTATCAATTAACATTTTATATCTTTTTCTGTTTCAGCACTTTATTTTCCACAATCAAATTTAGTACTAAGATTGCCAACCTTGACAAACAATAGTGCAAATTTTAGTTCCAATTTGAAACTATTGACACTGAGAACATTGAGAAACGATTCGACGATACCGAAAAAAGCGAAATATCAAATTTCTACGAGAAATAAAAAGATATCAAATCTCGACAAAAATACCAATACAATTTGGTTATCAAATCTTCCAAACACGAGTAAGTTTTTTTTTGTTTTGTTCTTTCCTTGCAATGGAAATTCTTTTTATAGTTGAGATTGAACAGAGAGAGAAAGAGAGAGAGAGAGAACAAGTTTGTAATATTTTTCTTTGATTGTTGTATTGTTTTTGTTTTTTTTGTTTTTTGTTTTATTTATCAAGACCTATCCGACACCATTATCGTTCGAGCGAAGGAAAATGATAGCAACGAAGCAGTTATGGAAATAAAAATACAACCATTGCCAACCAAAGAAAATCAATTAAATTGTGCTGATTACGTACAGGTTTATTATTACTCTCTTTTAATATTATATTTAACTTGTTTGTAATAATATCATCATCATTATCATCATGAAAATTGTCTTCATTAAATATCATTAATTTTTATTCGAATTTTTTAGGACATGTGTTTTTGGAATACATCTCGATACAAAATTTATGAAAATCAACCGAGGACTATGCTCGGTTCATTTGGACCAGAAATTTATAATCATATTTGTCCACATTTTCGTGTTACCGGATACGATTTAATGAACGGTAATTTTTATTTTAAAAATACCTAAAACAGATACATATTTATATATCAATCAAAAAAAAAAAAAATATTTCATTTCGTAGAATATTAAACAAATTCACACAAATGTGCAATAATTTTTACTCAATAATCATCGTCATCATGTTGTTTACATATTGTACATGTCCAACGAATTATTTTTTCTTTTTTTCTTTTTATGAGATCATTCATTGGAACAAATCCAAAAGTGGTGTACACTCAACAAAGATAATTCTCATAAATTCGTTGAAATCACTGAAATATTGCATCACTTTAATTCAATGATTAAAATGTAATAAAATGTTTGATTGTTTTTTTTTTTTTTTTTTTTTAGGCACAGATTATTTTCAAATAATAAATAATACACTTTATACAAATACTTCGTTGGATCGTGATACTCTTGAACCAGAGGGTGGTCCTGGACCACGAGCCGATATTTCAGTACGTTGCATCGTTTATGAGGATACCGGAGAACAATATGTTTTGCTAAATACCTTAAGTATCGAGATACTGGATCAAGATGATAATCCTCCTGTAATACAAAATAATCTAACGTCCGTTAATATTACCGTACAAGAATTTACCGCTGTAAGTATACATATATATTATACATTCCCAATACAAATCGATACAAGATTTATTATACACAATAAGATTTATTACAAGTTTCTATCTAATTTCTTATACATTACTTATATATATATAGGTAATATAAATATTTATCTAATTAAATATATTAATCTATTTTATTTATCTAATTATAAGTTTATTATTATAATTATATTTAATTAATATATATTAATTTATATATATATATAAATATATTATATATAAAATAATGATATGTATTAATTATATATAATATACTTTATATATAACTTTATATATAAATATTGTATTAAAATATTATATAATTTTTTTTACATATATATATAAGGGATACTTATATATTCCCTATTATAGTATTTAATATTTAAAAAATTAATTTTTTACCTATATATATATTATTTGTTACCTATTTATATTACCTATATATATATATATATATTCCATGCGTGTAAACAAGATTTTACACGAGAGTCGAAGTTTAAAACTTATGATTGAAAATGGAATCCTTCTTCCCCCCCCCCTCCTTCTCCTCCTCTACGTAAAACGGGACTTAATCATGGCTGTACATTGTCCGTATAATTATGGCATTGTTTTGGGCAGCACCGTAAAAAAACGGACGACTAGTATGGTGAGAATGACACAAAAGGATGGAAAAAAAGAAAAAGAGAGTGAGAAAGAAAGAGAAAGAGAGAGAGAGAGAGTAAAGGTGTGAAAAAGTGTGAATAAGAAAGAAAAAGAGAAAGAGAGAAACCTTGAGGGCTGATCCTGATTAAACTCTTCTGCCTCTCTCTCTCTCTCTCTCTCTCTCTCTCTCTCTTTCTATTTTTCACGCTCACTTCCTCTTCCCCCCCCCTTTTTCTCTTTTTTCTTTCCTCCACATTTTTCCCCCTCTCGTCCGTCCGTTTCTCTTACTTTTTTACATTGGAGGATGAAAGGGATTCGTTTTCAAGGCAAGAAGAACATCCATCCAAAAAAAAAAGAAATAAAAAAAACGTGTCATACAGTTTGAATACAAAGAATAAAAAAAAAAAAAAAATAGTACATTCCCTTTTTTTCTTTTTTTTAACTTGTCTTTTTTAGTACTTTACACAAAACTAAAAAGAAAAGAAAAAGTAGAGAGAGAGAGAGAGAGAGAGAGAGAGAGAGAGAGAGAGAGAGAAAATAAAGAAAGAAAGAAAGAAAGAAATGATTTCTTAATCTTTTTGTATATTCAACAGGGCGATAGATTGGATGAAAATAATGTACTTATCAGGGATTCCGACGAGATAGACAGTAATCAATTTACTCTTACTATTCTGGAAGATGTTCATAATGCTCTAAACTTCACGTATACCATAGTGCCCATCGATCATCCGTCACATCCGGAACATCCTGTATATACTTTTATATACACCAGTGAGTAGTAATCCTTCATATTAAAACTATCAACAAGTTTTAAGTTCCTTAGTTTTATATAATTGTTTAAATGTATTATAATACAATACATATATTTATCTTTAGAGTTATAATAATTTATAAATTAAT